TATGATTTTTATTTTTAGATTTAAATATGTTAAAAATTTACATATTTTATGTATTAAATATATGATGTTTTCTGGCATTACATCTTACCTTTAATCTTATTTGGATTAAAATTTTGTTAGATTAAAATATGTTATCTAAAATTTTTGATATTCTTTGATCTAAAAATTAAAATATGCTATTCTGAATGATTTAGAATGTATTTGACTAGAATATGTTGAAATTATTCATGTGTTGAAATTATGATTTATATTTGAATTTAGAAGGTAATAGCCTACTCAGTCATAACTAGATAGGTTGAGAGCCTCACCTAGAATGGAGGAGGAGTGCTGTAGCAATTGGATGAAATGGTGCTTCAACTTTTCAAATACCTCCTAGCGCTTCTCGGTCCACAAGAAACTTTTTTTATTTTTCAATACCTGGAAGAAGGGCAAGCACTTGTCACTGGACTAAGATAGAAATCGACTAAGTACCACTATTTGCCCTATCAACTATTGCACTTCTTTCATCGATCAAGGTGGATGTATCTCTAATATGACATAGACCATTTTGAGATTTACATATGTTCCTCTCTGATAAGCACACTTAGATATGTTAAGGCACATATTATATCTCTTCAAAAACTAAAACGTCTTAACTAAGGTTGTCATATGCGAGTCAGTTATTCTACTTTGACTATTATGTCATCCACACACACCTGAACGTTCCTTCTGATTTGATTGTTGAATATTTTATTCATCATCCTTTGGTATGTATCTCTCATATTTTTTAATTCAAATGATATGATTTTGTAACAATATATGCTTCAATCTATGATAAAGGAGGTATGTTCCTGATCATGAGGCTCCATCCTTATTTGGTTATATCCCAAAAATGTACCCATGAAGAAGAGGAGCTCATGGCTAACCATTTCGAGAAAGAGGATAGCTATCCTTTGGGCATGCTTTATTGAGATCGATGTAATCAACATATATTCTTTAATTTTTATTAGATTTTTAATTAATATAGCATTAGCAAGCCATTGGGGGTACTACACTTTGATAATGAATCTTGCCCATAGTAGTTTGTCTACCTCGTCGCTAATCATGTGTTGGCATTTTAGAGTGAACTTCGAATGTTTAGGTGGTATTTGCCCATAGTAGCTTTTGCTTCACTAGTTGGACTCAACGGAGATGTTTAGGTGGTGTTGGGCCACATCGAGATATATTCTTGACATATTTCTTGATGACTATATGAACACCTCAACATTTTTCTTGAGAAAGTCAATGAGTTGTATTTGCTTCTCTTTGGGGAGTGTTAACCCGACCTTGATGACCTGATCAAGATGGGCCTTGCATAAATGTTTCTCAACTAGTGGTTCAATTGGCTCTGGATATAGAAGGGGCCTAGCAAAATGTCGAGGGTCCAACTATGGTGCCTCGGGTCGGGCCCTCTTTAATATGGAGATTGTTGTTAGATAGCACTAACAAAACTCCTTTAGATAGCTCCTCAGCTCTCTAACGCTAATCTTTATTGAAAAATTCATCATCATGTGATAGGTCTACACCACAACCCTTAACCTATTGAGTGTGGGTCAACTTATGGCCATATTATATGCCGAGGAGATATCAACCACTATAAACTTGGTCATTGCCATTTTGGAGTAGAGTTCATCATCAAACATAACATATAGGCTCATAGTCCCGAGAGGGGAGATAGAGTTGCCTGTGAACCATATCAACAAAGAAGTTATAGGAGTGAGATCATAAGTCAAGAGCTTAAGTTTTTTAAAAACATTAAAATAGAGCATGTTAGTGGAACTACCTATATCAATCATGACCCTCTTTACTCAGGTGTTGATCATTCTTACAAAGACCACTAGGATGTCATCATAATTCGGGTCGAGATACTCCGTCTCCTCATCTTTGAAAGTTATTTTCGAGTCATCTTCTAATATTGTGCGCTTCTTGATAATGGTTCGGGTGTAGAATTTATGACATGAGGTGTTGTCTCCTCCCGAGGTAGACCCCCCCCAACAATAATGTCAATCTACCTCTTCATCAGGCCATGAGGTCGAGGTGAAGGTTCTCGAGATCTCTAGATGAATCTCTGGAAATGCCCTCGATGAATGAGCTCCTCGATTTGCTCCTTCAAATCACGATAGTCCTCCATGTCATGGCTATAGTCATGGTGGAAGCGATAATATTAGGATCTCTCTCTCCTTTTCAATGGTGTCTTCATCGGTTGAGGGTCCTTAAAAAACTCTTTTTCCTTTAACTATAAGAAGACATTAGTTCTCGTCATATTAAGGGGGGTCAACTTAAGTCTTGAGCGAGGCAACTCCGATCAATCTTGTTTTTTTCATTGAGGTGACCTCGAGGTTGGGACCTATAGTGATCGCTCCGATCGTAGCCTTTTATACATCTCATTATGCCAACTAGAGACCATCACCTTGACAACTATGAATTGGTTGCCCTTTTGAGGATCTCGAGTATGATTGCCAACTACCTCTTTACCAATGATCAGAAAAGGCAAGAGGACCTAAGCTTGATCATGAAGGCTTAAATCATGAGTGATGAATGAGCTTGGCAAGCGGATGTTCCCCTCTTTCTCGCACCAAAATGTTAGAAAAAAATATCATTAATATCTTGATTAGCGCGACATAGTTCAAATCTATATACATTAAAATGTCCACAATATCTCTGGGATAGAAAAGCCATGCTTTCAAGGTCCCACTTACATAGAGGTTGAGGTCGAAAGGGGTTTCCCAACTGAGTTCCTCAAGTTAATAATTCAAGATATCTAAATGAGGGTTCAAGTAAGAGTCATTTCTTTTCATATCTCAAAAGATGATAAGGAAGTTTGAGATTATCTTTTTTATCATAAAAGAAGATAAGAGAGTTTGTGATGACTTTTCTTACCATAAAGAAAAAGAAAAAGAAAAAGATTTGTGATTATCTTTGTTACCATAATGAATGAGAAAACTTATATTTTTCTATTTTGAATTTTTATCCAGGCAAATAGATAGAAGGTAACTTGGACTTGGACCCCACGTGACAACCATGTTGGTTGCCAATAAATTCCCTATCATCTTTTAATTTCCATAGTTTTTATTGGTTTAACACCCAAATCACCGGTATAAATTTCTCCATCAAACACTGCCTTATTGCACACATTCTTTTTATCGTCTATTGAGCAGAGAATGCAGATTGCAGACTGCAAGTCTAGATTACAATTATTGGATTGTCACAAGATCATAATGATCCAATGATCATTAGGAACAGAGTGGTTGTATCAGTTTAGAATCCAAAATTGTTGAACAAGTTATCACAAAAGAATACTTTCAATCCTATTTATATCTCTATCTTCGAGCTATCCAAAACGCCAAAAGGTTCTACCTCTCCATCTCAGATGGCGCCCTTCAAGTCTCTGTGGCTTCTCCTAGCCTTATGGTGCTGCGTTCATGGCAGTGATGCTGCCCTCCCTCAGCGCCTCACGTTAAAGCAGCACTATGCTAAGTTCCAGGAGAGGGCTTCTTCTCGGCCTTCACTCAATCAAGCAGTAAGATTCAGGAACTTGATGTAATGTTTTACCTGTCGCTGTTGTTGCGATGAGACTCTCTTGTGTGTGCAGGTGTCGAAGGTTTTCGACCCCATTTCTTTTGGAGCCGACTCGACCGGGGCTGCAGACAGCAGCGACGCCATCATGAACACTATCAATGCCACCTTCCAGGCTCAGCAGGGCAAGGCGTTGCTGCCGGGGATCAATGACTTGGGTGGCGCGGTGGTGGACTTGCAAGGTGGCAACTACAAGATCAGCAAGCCCATCCGTTTGCCCAGCGGCGGTGGAAATGTTGTGGTAATCGAAGCCTGTTTGATCTCTATGCTTCCTTCCCAATCCATCGCGTTCACCGTGCATGCACTGTATGAGTTCCTCAACCTTGAAATCTCTTATTCAGATCCGTGGTGGAACTCTGCGGGCAGATGATAATTTTCCTACCGATGGATATTTGATCGAGTTGCATTCGCCGTCCTCCGATCAGAAGCACGGCTTCTACTACGAGGACATCACCTTCCGCGACATCCTCTTCGACTCGGGCTTCCGCGGCGGTGGCCTCCGCGTGATCGACTCGGCTCGCATCCGCGTCGACAACTGCTTCTTCATCCACTTCGGAACCGAAGGCATCCACGTAAACAGCGGCCACGAGACCTTCGTCTCCAACACCTTCCTCGGCCAGCACGTCACCGTCGGCGGCGACCCCGGCGAGAGGAGCTTCTCGGGCACCGCCATCAACCTTGCGGGCAACGACAACGCCGTCACCGACGTTGTAATCTTCTCCGCCGGCACCGGGATCATCCTCTCCGGACAGGCCAACATCCTGACCGGCGTGCACTGCTACAACAAGGCCACCGGCTTTGGCGGCGTCGGAATCTACGTGAAGCTGCCGGGCAACAGCCAGACTCGCATCGACAACTGCTACATGGATTACAACGCGATCGTCCTCGAGGACCCGGTGCAGGTCCACGTCACGAACGCCTTCTTCCTCGGCGACGGCAACGTCGTCCTCAAGTCAGTGAACGGGGTCATCTCGGGGCTGACCATCGTCGACAACATGTTCACGGGGAACGGCAACGCAAAGGCAGTGGTGGAGGTGCAGGGCACGTTCAACCAGGTGGACCAGGTGGTGATCGATCGCAACAGCGTGACAGGCATGTCGGTGAAGTCGACGACTGCTAAACTGACGGTGGCCGGCAAGGCGGACAAGTGGGTGGCCGACTTCTCACCGATTTTGCTGTTCCCTGACCGGATCAAGAACGTGCAGTACTCGCTGTACGTGAATGGAAATGAGAGCATTCCGCTGCATGCGGTGACCAGCACGAGCAACAACATGGTGGTGGTGGAGGCCGACCGTGTCGTCGACGGCGGTGTCTGGGTGTCGGTGGATCAGTACTCCAAGTAGAGAGAGAATTTGCTTCCCAGAATATTTTTTTTTTGTGCTTCATTGACTAGATGCGGTTAAATCTTTCAGAAATATTGTTTGCCTGCACGATTTGAGGTTAAATAATAAGGACAATATTTAGATCGGATAGTAGTAGGTCAAGTGATAGTTTTATTGATATTGAGAATTCCTCTCTCTCTCTCTCTCTCTCGCGTCGTTTCCTCAAGTAGCAAAGCATATAAGTTGACCTTGTCTTTCTCGATCCATTTGCTTTCTTCTCATGAGAAGTAACCATCAACCCTGGTGTTAAGGGAGGTTGGCCTTATCGTCATCTGGCTTGATATGCCGGCAAACAAGAGGCCATCAGCCATCTCCCTATTCATGGCGGAGTGCCTAAGCGCTTGAGGAAGCGCATCGCTACCGCTGTTTCTGTTACTGTGAAGGCTAAACATTGCCTCAGGATATCGCTGTTGTTGCCACTGGGGTTGGAAGCGTTTCTCCGAGTACGCCGTCATCGTCTCGAGGACGGCATCATGGAAGCTGAGACCCAACTTGATTGCTGACCGGCCGCCGGGCTGATTGGCCGGAGAATACGGCTCGGACGATAGCCCGGTGAAGTGTTGGACCATCGCCCGGAAGTTGGCGGCGTCGGTGTTGAGCAAAATGACGGGAGCTCTCCTGGAGACTCTCGTCCGCCGCCGTGGGGGCCTCGACACCCGGCCCCCCACCCCGGCCTGCATGGCACCGGCCGAGAAGGGGACCGACGAATGCCCGAAGCACGACGCAGCGAGGGACTGCGGTTGCTCGATGCTCTGCACGCCGAGCCGCCCGGCCGGGCTTGAGGTGGCATCACTCGTCGCCATGGGCCGTAAAAGAGAGCGAGCGAGGAAGAGACGGTGGGTGGGGGTGGTGTATATATATGATATGTAAACAGATGCAGCGACGGACGAGATGATGCCACGTGGACACTCATCAAGCCCTCAAGAAGGGGATTTCGAGGAAGCATCATTGGTCGATTCTTGTTGACTTGGTGATTTGAATGTGGTTCGACCGACCTTCATCCGACATTGAAATGTGGTCCAATCGAATCCTCACCAGTAGCAATGGATGTTAAACGTGTCTCAATAAGAAGATAATACGAAAAAACGACAACCCAATACCACGAGATTCTTATCGATGAAATGGATGCAGCTTTACTCCATTATTTGTCGGCCGGAAAGAAGAGTTTGATAATGATACTCTTAGCCAGAAATCCCATACATCTTAACACAATCAAATCATAAACAAATCGAGAGAAAATGGGTTGTTTCGAGGGAACTTGCAAAGTTCATGATCATTTTGGGGCTAATAATAATGTGCTCCTTTCTGAGGCTGATGGAGAACCCACCCATCTTCTGGCCGTCAAGAAAAGTCTGCATCTCGACCACCCATGATTCACATGTTCCCAATGCCGACGCACCAAATCAACATCCATCATTCAGTCGATGATGGAGTCATCCGATATTTACTATTAATTGTATCTATAAATTTAATATTATTTTTTTTATTTTTTTTTTAAATATTGAGATATTCATTTGGAAAATTAAGATCTCGTGGAATAACCGAATAAAAAAAATTGTTACAACCAAATAGATAATTTAATTAATTAGTGAGAAAATGAGATCAAGCACATTTAAGATCATAATCCATCTAATTGATATTTTAAAGTGTTTCGTGATGTATCTTTCCTCTTCTTCTCTCTTTATAATTTTGTTAAGCGATGGAATATATCGACACGAAGATCTTTATATATAATTAGAATGACCTTTTAATAATCGATAATCACTATTAAATGTCAAGAGATTGATCGTCAAAACTCAATTTGGAGATATTACAAATCCAAAAACAAATTCCCATCGTATTCATATTCCGTACAAAGTTATAATTTCATATGGATTAGTGTTTCTTTAATGGGTTCATGATTTTGATAATGATATTATGCATTCGTGTGGAGTTACTTATCTAAATGAAAATTAATGTATATGTGGTCATAAAGGGCACAATTAAAGTAATTGGGATATGGAGAGCCCATAAGATTCAATAAGAGCTGTATATTATTATGTTTTATCTTTTCATTATGTTTATTGCTTTTTGTATTGATGATAATGAGCCATAATTGCATAATAAGATTTTACATTTTAGTATTGCATAATAAGATCTTAACCAAAAACTCAATGACTTAAAAAAGGTTCATCAAATTAATCCCATATTGATGGAAAATAATGATTTTGTAACGGGCATAAAACTTTGACCGTTCAAATCATAAAAGAATAATCTTATCATTATGCCAATATTACGTACAAAGCACCTTATAGAGTCAAAATTATTTTGTCAATAAAAACACCCTCTTTTAGACATTATCAACTATCCCTTGGTTAAGAAACTATGGTCATCATTGTTATCTGAAATTTTTTTTGTTATTGGAAAGAAGACTCAAAACACATTAATGATCTGTGTGTGAAAGATAAGATGTCTGCAATGATAGACTTTTTATCTCCAAGGAACTCCACTGGTTACGTTGAACAAATTGACGACTTTTATTATATCAGATTGAACCTATATATCTTGTTCTGCTTTAGTGCATTCAGAATCGTCGGACATTGTCGATCCAGAAATTACAACATGATTGTTTTTTATTTTATGATCCTTTATAATTAGATAAGATATATATAATATAACTAATTAAATTTTGATAAAATATTTTGATCAATAAAAAATAAGTCCACTTAAAATAGGATTCCTTAAAGATAATTTTGATGAGAGAAAATATCCTAATTACTTATCCTAGACTCTCTGTTCTCATCTATAAATAGACAGGACCGACTAAAAAAGATGACATCTTACAAAGATTATAGTTGAGGGATTATAATCTTTAAGAAAAGAGGAGAAGGATATAGTTCCTCTTTATAAATTGATAACGATCTTGGATTAAATATGATGTCTTTATAGATCAAACAAAAATCTTTTACGTATCGTAAAACTAGATCTAATTATTTGATTTTAATCCTGATTGTTTTCACATTTAATATAATATATTATATATTTTATGTTTACAAGTTTGTCTTTACTCATGTACCGAATGTTTACATCAAACAAATATGGGTGAAATGACCTATCATGTTCAATAATGTAATCGAAGTTTAAAAGTTATAATGGGTCAGAAACTTTTCTTCCCTGGAAAGGTCTCTATGCGTCTAGCTCGAAATCACGTAAGTTAATAGTCAGTGCAACCACTTTCACCATACTAAGATTGGTCGACTTTGAGACCTATGATATTGATAATCATTTCGATTAAGCCAAAGAAACCAAAAAATATTACCAATGATCTTCTTGTGAAGTTCGTATCGTTCGTATAGCCAAGATTCTTGATACCAATCCAAAATAAACTGAAATTTGTTGCCTATTTGGTTGCTCACAAATTGCCAAAAACTTATGCAAAACACATTAAAAAAAAAGTGTAAGAGAGTCAGAATTAAGTTTATAAACTAGACAACAAGTTGGGTAAGAATGCAATACATAATAGTGTTGAATATGGGATTTTGATGATAAAATCAATTGATAGTGTTTATGATTTGATCTATGGATTGAGTGACGTAGGAAGCTTCGATCAGGGAGAGACAATTAAAGCTGAAAGAATCATGTTGGGCCGAAAGATCGATCGACATATCTGTAAAAGGCTTCGGGCCATGGGTTCGGGCATCGGGCCAAGAAAAGCAAAAATTACGCTAAGAAAATTAGAGTTACGGAGGTCAACTGGCCGATTGGGCAATGGCCGCAAGAGAGGAAGATGCGCCGAAGAATCAGATGAAACGTCAATGAACCAATGATATGCCGGACAATATTTGATTCAGACTTTGTAATAATTGTCTAGATTGAAATAGGTTTAAAGTGTGTAGGATTAACTATGATGGCTATCAAGGCATAAAACAAAATGAAGTCCCAGAGTCAAGAATAAGATTTCGTTGGGAGTTCGAGAGTTTGTTAGAAGTTATGTAGGAATTGATCGAGAAGTCTAAGAGCTTGCCAAAGAAGCTCGTCGGAAATTGCTAAAAAGATCGTCGTGAAGTCCAGGAGCTTATTAGGAGTTCATTGGAACATTGCCAAGAGATCGTTAGAAGTTCATCGGAAGATCGTTGGAAGCTCGCCGGAAGCAACCGAGACTTATCGAACTTATTTAGCTGTGTATGCCTTAAAATTCATAATTAGCATATAATTGGATTGGAATTGGGCCAATTGGGCCCAAGTTTGGATTGTGTTGGGCCAAGTGAAAGGCCCAAATAGTGACCCAATATGTGTCACCGTTATGACACAGTCTTTGAGATTGTGTCAGGCGATGGTACCGCCAGTCTGGACAGTGGTACCGCCCAATGGCAGGGTGTCAAACGGTGGTACCACTAGTACCCTGAAATCCAGGGATGAGACACTTTTAGGCTTCAAGTTTGAATCCACTTGAGGCCTATAAATACTATTCTCATCTTTGGTTAACACACACAAGCATGGAGAATTTAAAAGTGGGAAAATGCTATACTAATCACTTGAGAGATCCTTTCCTCTGATTCTAAGTTTAGAATTATGTTTAGAGAGGAGTGAGTACTTGTAAAAGGTTGTCTCCTAAACTAGTGAAAAGGAGAAAATGGGTGTAAAAGGATAGTTGGTCTTCGTCCATTGAAGGAAGACTAGTAGTGGAAGTTGATAGCCTCGAGTGAAGAGGAATCGAGAGTGGATGTAGATCACAATGATTCAACCACTATAAAATCGGTTTGTTATCTTTTACTTTGCTATTTACCTTTACTGCAAATCATTTTACTTGCTCACTACTCTACTTTCTCATTACATGCTTACGAAAGTATTTTTAAGTTAACATCTTTCCGATCAATTTTCAACGAATGAATATTTTCAGATTTTGATATAAAAATTTTTAACCTTATAAGGTACACCAAGATGTCACATATTCTCCTTATAATTTAGATAATGACAAATATAAGTATTAAGCACTACTTGAGGCAATAGTATTATCTATAGGAGTACTAGTCCAAATCTAATAGCCATTATACAGATTGAGTGGGATGTGAATATACTTAATCTTGTCAATCAGAAATATTAAGTATATTCGTATAATATAGCTGTCATATAAAGTCTGTTAATGCATATATATATATATATATATATATATATATATATATATATATATATAAAACTAATATTCATAATTATGAACCCTACCTGAGGTCCTAATTAATTAAAAATGATAAAAATCTCAATATCAACCGACAAATATGAAATATTTAAGGAGTATTTTCTATAACATAAAATATTTCCTACTATAGTTGGTGACCAAATGCATATTGACGATAAAAGGTAACCTAGGGGCATGGATATCAAGATTTGACCTTTCTTACCTTAAAACTTCACTTAACTTATTTTAGACTTAACTTAGGTATTCATTGAATCACAACGAGGACCCTAACTTGAGATTGATCTTGAGTGCAAGTCAAACCCCACTACAAACATCAAGAGCATGTTAGATGGGCAAGGAACTCCTATCACAAGTCAGATTAGAATCAAATCGAGCTGCTCCAACAATTCTCCACCATCAAATTTTTCTCTAGCATTTTAGTGCTAAAAGGAGAGCCTTCATATCGCAGAAGCACTGTTGCATTGACACTCCGAATGAGTAGTCTAATAGGGATATCACATCTCTCACCTATAGTATATCTTCACCTAAACTAGTTTATCTTCTTTGATTTTTTTTCTCAATTCTTTAACCTTCGTATAGACTCCCATTTAGTACCAACAATTATTCAATGATTCTAGTCTCTCTCGGAACTCTCACCTATATT